GCCCCTCTCCTTTCCCTTTTCTTCCCTCCCTTCCTTCCTCCTATCTTTCTTTCCGCCCTTCCTCGCTCTTTTCTTTGCCTTCTTCCTTTTTGTTGCTAGGGAGCATGATTAATCCTTAAGGGGGGCGCATTTTCTCTGGACTCACTCATCAACATACCAGTGTCATGACTCCCATTCTGTCCATTTCCCTGGCAGGGCTGCGCGGGGTGAGCTTTGGGGTCGAATGTCCACTGGGGGGCGATGAACTGGCGAGCGACGACGCCGTAACAGACGCAGTGATGGACGTGCCTGGGTGCACCCTTGCCAGATTGAGGCCTTCCAGGCTCACACTCGCCACTCTATTCTCAATTTCTTCAGCGCGCAACTCCGTAGATTCTTTTTCTTCTTGAATTAGCCTAAAAATAGTTTGATTTGATCCATTATTATAATAGCATTCCTATAAAGCAGCTGAAAAGTCCCTTGTGAATAATTTATATTAAATATGATATTTTTGTCTTTTCTTTTCTTCTGTGGGGAGTAAAACTATCGTATCAGCAAATTCCAGAGATTTCACGGCTGTTTTTTTCAAAGTATATCTATTTCCTGTCCACTTTCATACCTACTATGAAATAATATTTTTTTTGGGGGGTACCGGGGATTGAACTCGGGTCCTTGCGCTTGCAAAGCAGGCCACCGAACCGCTGAGCTAAATCCCCAGCCCCACTATGAAATAATTTTAATTAAAACACTTTACCCACAGGTTCATTGGTTCTAGAATTAAATAATATAATAAAGGGACGTGTTACACTATGCCATTAAATTATGTTTGGTACATACAATTAACTTTGTATATTTAAAGATTTCAAATTTATTTGCTCCTCATTTGCTTACTTGGTGATGTTGTACACATATTTCCTAAAAATTAGAGGAAATTTTTATTGACTGGTCTAATTTGACATGAACTTCAACACGAAAGTGTGAAATTTTTACCTTTACTAATACAGGGAATATTAATTAATTGCCAGGAAAATCCACCTAGGAATTAGGTCTCATTGTGAAATATCAGGGCAGACAAATTGAAAAGCCAATTTTAAACACTAGTGAATATAATTAGCCACCCACAGACATTCCAATTAGCAACTTGTGGTTTTTGTGTAATACATTTCTAAAGGAATTTAATTTTTATTAAGGACAGCAGGAGTTTTAATTTATGCCATTATTTACACGCCTTAACTTTGCTGTGTTCTTTCTTTGTTATCAGTAGTCTTAGTGGAGAAAAGCACCCTGTTCAGCTTTTAGCAAGTGCTCTCCCATGGATGGAACTGTTCATCTCACGAAGCACCAATGTGGCTACACAGGATTTTCATAAGGAATATTGGGAAGGCTAAATTACGTGAGGTCCCAAAGGTAAAACAAACCTGAAATATTTGATGTTTTTCTCTCCTCTCTTTCATGCTGTCCTTCTCCCCCTGCCTGCCTCTCCTGAGGACCAGGAAGAGAACCTTCAAGGAAATCGAACCCTCCCAAAACCTTGACCTTAGGCTATGCAGTCTACCCCAAACTGTGAAAAGATGAATTGGATTTTAAGCCACTCAGCCTATGGTATTCTGTTTGTACCATATTTTGTTACTACCTATGGTAGTCAAAGCAGACTAAACATGCTCTATTGGTGTTGAATGAACAAAAAATTAAAAGATGGGTGTGACAAATCTCCAAGAAATACATTATCCCTGATATTAAGGCTTAAAATTTATGAAATACAGGAGGCAGAACGATAGCAGGGGGGATCGAACTTGGGTCCTTGCACTTACGACGCAGGCAGTGGAACCACTGAGCTAATCCCCCAGCCCAAATAGAAAATTTTAATTTAAAAACTACTTTCAAATTAAGTGAAGAAAAATCTATCTTTAACATATTTTTATATTGCCCCTGATGTCATTTGTCTGTGTTTCCTTAAAGGCCTGCCTGAAATTTCCCCAGGAGACAGCAAATATCCTGGGTCACCTGTGAGCACGCACCTTCTGACTCACTAGCTATTGGTGAGGTCTAACTTCCTGCAGTGCTTCTGAGCTGAACAGCAATCACATTTTTAGCAGCAAGGTCTCCTAATCTCTTGAAAATACCAGTACTAATTAAACTCACCTTATTTCTTTGTTGATGGCATCGAGTTGTTCCTGAAGCATCATAGCTAGGGTCTGGGCATCAGAGTGACCGCTTGGAGAGAGAAGATCCATTGAGCTAAAAATGGTTTCTCTGTCATCATCATCAATATCAGACATTTCAGTGTCACTTTCAAAATGGTGACTACTTAGTACTCCAATTTGTTGAGTTCTATTCCATTCATGATCCCCAAGTGATTTCACCTGAATAGTAAATGAACATAAAAAGCATGCATACTTTTATAGCTGACCTAGCAAAAGGAGAACCACTTATTACATTTTAATTTACTTATTCAATAAAAGTTCTTTGACATATTAAGTAATAGAAGATATAATTGTTAGCATAAATATCAACACTTAAATAGGAGTAGAGATAAAATATTTCCATATGATTTATAGTTCAATCATTATACTGAGTAAAGCATCTATATTTGCAAGTTTTCTGTTTGTAGATACAGCAAGCTCTATTTACTTGTACCAAAAAACCTGCATCTCTTATACTAGTATTACCTACAATTTTCTTATTAAAAGCTGACACCAAAGTATTACCATATAACGAATGACTTAATCATCTCCTCAAAACTCGTAGTTTCTAACAAAATATTACTCAAAAAATTACACAATGATTTCATTTCATCTCCACTGTTTGATCACTGGACTATCTCACTGATTTTTAAAATTCAAAGTATATTAGTTTGTATGGATTATATTTCTATAATTAACATAATAAATCTTCTGTTCAAAAGACAGCCTTGAAACCCAAGATGCCCGTGTTTTTCAAACTGTGATCTGAAGGTATAAGGCTATTGGGCATAAGGAATAAATAGGCCCTAGCATTGTTTGCCTTTTGTTGTTGTTGTCGTTACGAGGGATTGAACTTGGGACTTTGCACTTGAAAGGAAGGCAGGAGAACCACTGGGCTAAATCCTCAGCCCAATGTCTTCTTCTTTTTAAAATTTTAGTTATCATTGTTTTGATTGTGGAAAACAAATCATATTTCCAAGCACTAACTTAAGAATTGAAGAAATAAGTTAACATTTGTTACAAACTATTTTTGTAACAAGAAACACTTATTTATTAGTTATATAATAATGAGAAAAGGCTGAGATGAATTTAATTTAATATTTACTTGCTTGTTTATTCATACACTGAACAGATATTGAATGCTTACTATGATGGATTAATTTATACATGACATATTAAGCTAGGGATTTAGTTCAGTGGCACCACTCCTACTTTGCAAGTGTAAGGTCCTGAGTTTGATCCCCAGTACCAAAACAAAACAAAAATACTCCAACATGTTAATAGCATGTATACACTTAATACATAAAGTATGGATAAATAAAAGTAGTTGAGGGGAGCAAACTATACTTAGGGCACAAAGGAACAGCATTACCTCTCTATAAAATGCAATTGCATTACCACTCTGAAAGAGTAACTTATGAAATCGAAGTTACTGATTGAAAGGCTGGTATTATAGCTTATCATTCTAAAAAACATTGTTCTTTATAAGTACATGGAGTTTAGTACATTTTCCTAAAAATGTTTTTAAAATAGTAGTTTTCATTAAAATATTTAATTAATTTGAATTAGTGATGAGAATGTCATTGCTTAAGTGCCAAAACAAACCAAAGGCCCATTTGTTTGGCAGTATACCATAATGCTTAAGCCTTGATATTTGAAACGACGCATGCATAAGCTCAAACTTTTACTCTGTCAGTTTGCTGGCTGTGTAATATCAAATACTTTATATTTCTGAGCCTTAATCTTTTTATGTCTGAAATTTTTAAAAACTTCACATCATCATATCAAACAAATAAATATATAGGAAATGCTCTTCTTCTGGCACATAGTAGAATGCTATGGCTTATATGTGGCTGTCCCTCCAAAGCCTCACACATTTGTAGATGGGGCTTTTGAGATCTGTCTGGATCATGGGTGTGTGGTGACCGGATTAGTGCACTGATTGGTTTAAAATAGACCTGGGTGTAGATGATGGGAAGATCCACCTTGGGTGTGAGCGGCAGTAACCAATGGAATAAAGAAGGAAAGGAAGACTCGCTGTTTGCTGCTTTGCTCCTGCCATGCAATGCATTATTTCTCCCCTGCCCTGACGCCCTTCCTTGGAGCCACCTGACTATGGACTGAAACCTCTACAAATCATGACATAAAGAAACCTTTCCTCCTCGAATTTCTGGGTGTTGGGTATTTTGTCCCAACACTGAGAAATTAATAAAGACGTACAAGATTTTTGCAGTTATAATTTAAAAATATGTCATAATCCATTCTTGAAAATAATAACAATGTTAGCATTGTAAATTTGCTATGTTAAAGTTCTATCGAAAATAGAACAGAGTATTTAATTAAAATGATCACAGTTGAAATCAAATGATTTACCTTTGGCTCATCTCTTCTCACACCCATGCGGCCTCTCCTGGGTCTTCTTATGACTTTAGTTGTTCTGTAATCAGACTGGCTGTCTACTAGGGATCCAACTGAGTACCGCAACTCAGTTGAAGTGTCTAGATGAGTTCTGGAAAAAAGGAAAATTAGCAAATATATCTAATCTCAAAAATCAGACTTATCAACAAATTACCATCTGCTCCTTAATTGACAATAAAGTGGAAACCCTCAAGGAAATAAGCATCAAGAAAGAAAATGGGTGAACTGTCATGCTTTTTAAATTGTCTTCGGAAACTTAATAGTATATTAGAAGTTCCACTCTCAGGTTCATTCCTGAATGTCTAGTGCATTTTCTCCTATTAAAATATACTTATAACCTTTCAGTTTATTACCCTTTTTGAACACAGTAGGACAATGATAGATGTTAGGATAGATGACAAAAAACCATTTCATTAAGTTCTGTCAATTCTATTTAGTTTGTATTCATCAGTGGCGGTCTCAATATTTCCCATTTATTTTAAATGTTTCCTTTTAGATGGAATGTGCATAAATTTGGGGGACCCCCAAACTTTTCCAATTAACAATTTTGAAGAAATCCTTTAACACATTTTAAATTTTAGAATATTATCTTTTTCAATTTAAAGAAACAACAAAATGCTTAAAACTAGATTGCTAGAAGGTTAATAATCTTATATTTAATATTGAATAGGATGTACCACCGGCACTATTTTTTAAGCTTTGGATGAGCTATTATTACAAAATGGTGAAAGAAAATTCTTTTGGTGAGCACGTTGGATTCTACAATTTGCTTTGAGACTTGGAAAATTTCTATTGAAAAATATCATTACACTGGTTTTCAAATAAACATGGCAATAAAGTATACTCTAATCAAAGTGTAGAATGGGCTTCTTCAGGCACATTATTTTTCTATAGATTCACAACAAATTCAGTCTATTGCTACAATAATGATGATGGTAATAACAGTGACTTCCTGCTGTCCTCTAAAATGAAATAACAGAAACATCATCAGTAGAAAATACACTGAAGCTGTATTTTTCTGTTCTGTTGAACTTGGGGCTCCTGTTGATTGACTATACTCTTCTCCTTTGTCCCTTTTATGAACAAAAAAAAGCATGGCTGAATATTTGTCAAGATTAAAAAATATTAAGTAAAGTCTTGATGTTTGCAAAGGTAGGAGACACTTAGCTGACTCTAGACCTTGTTTTGTGCAATGGATAATTAGAGCAAACAAACTGGAAATCATCAGGCAAATAGATGGCAGCTATTATTTTTATAACAATATATCTGGGACTTTAAGAAACTGGTATTCTACAGGATAATTCATAGATAAAAAAATTAGCTGTGCAACTCAGAAGTGTCATATCTCTCAGTGTTTATCTATTGGACAGAGGCTCTCGGTTTCATGAAAACAAAGATCAGGGAGGTGCCTAGAACAAAGTAAGTATTTTATAAATTTCTGGTAAGATGATGAATGAAGAAAATTATAATGTAATCCCACAATGCCTTGCTTAGATCTCTTTTGCCTATGAGAGGCTACTCATGCTAAATCCCCTTGGCTATCAGAGTGAAGTTGCTAACATTATAACTCATTTTTTAGGAGTATTATTCATGTTGTTTTATCTATCAATTTTTGTATATTTGTTTAAAACAAGGAACAAAACACAGAACTGGCACTTTAATGCCTTGCTAAAAACTCTCCAATGTCCTTTCAAGGCCTTCCATAATCTCCGCCTTTCCTATGCTCAAGCTTTGCTTTGAGTTGCTTTCCATCAAGCCAAACTGACTTTCACTCGATTTTAATAGCAAACACTTTATTTCACTTCTGAGCCTTTGTATATGCTGTTCTTTCTGCTGGGAAGGGGAGGGGAGAGGAATTAAGGGAAAAGAAAAAATGTGAAAAAAGAAAAAAAATGGAAACAAAGTCTTTGTAAATAGGGGAGGGTGAAGGGGGAGAAGGGAGGGCAGGGGTATGGGGGAAAAAACAAGAACCAAGACATGTCATGTAAAGGTACAAGATCTCAAGGACAAATGTAACTGCATTGTTTGCTTTAAATGTACTAATAAACTTAATGGGGTAAAAACCTACATGGTTATCATTCTTAAAGTCAGAGTACAAGTCCTATGGCAATATATATACTATTCTTTCTCTCAGTATTCTCTGTGTTTTAACAGTCCACAAACTAGCATTCCCATATGTTCCACCCTGGAACACGTATTCTTTAGCACCACTACGTCTCCAGTGCTTCTATATTTGGCAAGGAAAAGTGTTTAGTAGATCCTGAGAGAGCCAAAGATCCCAGCCAAAACGAAGTCCGTAAGAACTATGGCTTCAATTAAGAAGGTGCTTCAATTAAGAAGGCGCTGTCTCTCTCTTTCTTTTCTCTCTCTCTCTCTCTCTCTCTCTCTCTCTCTCTCCTCAGAACTACGTTTTTCACAGGAGACACCAGAGGGAATATTTCTACACTAATTCAAATTTGAAATGATTTTAGATGTAAATTTTGGGAGGCATTTAGAGGTATCAAACAGTCAACACCTCCTTTGAGCAATGGACAATACTGTTCCCCCAGTCTCCTATGATTCATGCATAAAATCTCATTTAGAAACCTCTTTAGGTAAATCAGTTCTAAATTTTCTTAGAGAAAACTTATCTTTATCTATGCTCTCTTCCTTCTCTACTGTTCTTTCTAAGAACCCAGATCTATCCTTTCTTCAGAGTTGAGCCACATGAAGCCTTGTCTAGCCACTCTAAAACTCAACTTACTTTCTTCTCAGGTGAGTTATTAGTAGAAAATTCATATCAATATTGATTACAGTTGACCACTAGCCTTAGCTCATCTCTTCTCATCTTTTCCTGGAAGACCCAAAACTAATAGTTTCAGTTCTCACGCATCTTCTGTTTATATATGTATACATAATTTATATGTGTAGAGATATCTATCTACCCACCTACTCTTACACAGATTTGATTATATGTCCGCAAAAGCTTGGACATTCTGCTTAACAGTCACTTATCTTATGACTTCTTATAATTCTCTCAGTTAGCTATTTTAATAATTTCTATAATAATTTTATACTTGTGAAATGATGTCCTCTTCACAAAGTTCCCTTTGCTCACTTGTCTCATTTTATCATCAACACTTGTGAGGCAGTGAGGAAATTAAAAATTATCCATATATAATACTACCTGTGAAGCAGTCAGGAAAATACAAATTATATATATATAATACAAAATTATATATATTATATATACAAAATATATAATACAAAAATATATATATGGTTATAATCTTAACAAAAAATGGGTTTCCTAAACTCGAACAGCTAGGGATCATTTGAAATCCAAGAAGGCGGGTCATTTTATTCCTGCCCTACTGTTCTTTCCATTGCCATCTGCTCTATCAGAGAATCAATGCTCCATAATTTATTTGCAGATAATGTCACATTGTCAGGGTGACATGATGACTTCACAATGTGCCGAGGAAATTTTAGTTGCTTTATAACTTTTTGTTTCTGAAACCTAACACCAAAAAGCCAAGATAATGCTCACTGCTCCCATTAGAATATAACTGAGTGGTGATTAAATAATGCTTGTTATTCATACTCTTTTGATATTTTAGCAGCACTTTTCTTCCTACATCATCATCATAGTCAACAGCATCACATATGAATCCATATGTCTAAATTAATAATTTCAGTTCATATTTGCAGATCAGAATTTTAAAAATAAGCAAAATTTTCTATAGTAATGACTTACAAATTTAAAATTCTTTGGATGTCTATATGCCCACAGAACTGTATTTTCATACTCAACTGAAGAAATACTCAGATAATAAATATTGTTTTGATTTATACTTCCATTGAAAAAGAACTTAAGTTCTGCTGGGATTTCTTAAATTTAGGTTTTTATCATATTACCTGAAATATGCTTTACCACATATCCATCCCTTCATTCAGGACTATTTACTGAAATTGTACTACATGCCTGATAGTGTTTTAGGTGCTGAAATTATAGGAGTCATATAAAAACTAATACACATTTCTGCTCTCATCGAGTTAACATTTATAAAATAAACACAATACCAAGAAAAATAGACTGCCCTGAGAAGCCCAGATTTTCAGTTTCAAACAGTTGATATTATTCCATATTGCCTAGTAAACACATGATTAAATGAATAAATTCCTAAGTTTTTAAAGTCAAATTTAAGTAAAAAGCCTTAGGCACAAAAGAAAACTATATATGAGTTATTAATATACACATAAATCTAATCAACTTTATAATTTTCTGTCAAATAAAGGGTTATCCAATTTCTTTTTTTTCAGCTTTAATTGAGTTTATTGGTACATTTTAGGGATACAGTACAGTTACATTCATTGTTGGGATCTTGTACCTCTACACGACAGGTCTTGGTTCTCATTTTTTCCCCTTACCCATGCCCTCCCTTCACCCTCTCCTCTCCTCCCCATCTACAAACACTTTATTTCCATCTTTTCATTCTCTCACACCAATTTCTTTTTTTAATGAAGCAGTGAGTTAGAGTACATGAGCACGATTACATTTAATTGAATCCTTTTTATACATGTAATTTCACTTTCCATCTTAATTTGTAATGCTTAAAAAAACAGATCGATGCTGCGTAATCACATCCAATAACATTTAATGTTAAACATTGGACATGTTTCTGCACTGAATACACGTAGAGAGAAAAGTTAAGGCTTCCTTTTAGAAATAAATGTCATCTTCTTATATACTGTCCAACTTCTTTGCTTTTGGATATTTAAATATATTTTTATATAACTAACTGAAGGATACAAAAGGTATTAATTTAAATTTTTATGGAACATCTGCAGCAAGGATTTCTAAATTAGGAAATTATTTTTAAATATAGAAATTAAATCACCAAAGTGGCAAATTAAAGTGATGACTGCTGAGAAATACGAGATACTTATTTGCTGAGGAGATACGAAATCAAAAGGAAATTCACATTTATTTTAAGTGAACTACAGATAAGATTTTCATTTAATGTTACCTTGATATTGTGGGTTCAATTAAAGAGCCAGTTCTCATTTTCAGTTGGTCAAGTTCAGATCTCAGTTTTTCAATTTCTTCTGCTAATCTTTCCTAAATATTGAAAAGGTATTATTCAGATAACAGTCATATGCCAGGAAAACCAAAATTCAATTATGATAAACCAAGCTGTAACAGCTTTTTTGAAGGGAACACTGATAATATATTTTATTAAAGATTATTAGATATGATAGTAAAATATCCATGAATTTCACCATTGTTATAAAATAGGAACAACAGAAATCAATAAAAATTATCTACATTCCATGGCTTTCACCAGTCCTAAAACTTTGCAAATTTGTGGGAATATTAAAATCATCAGTAATTACTACTACTATTTGTACTTCAAAATGCAGAGTAGTAATCATATTCAATGTTAGAAATAAATGAAAATTTAATTTATGGAGTAAGTAAAAATTGTCATTATTTTATGAGTATTGAAGGACATATAGGTAAATAAGACTGAATGAAAAGAACCAGAGAAATATCATCACCTTAACAAGAAAAACTAACAATCCAATTTTTGGTTCAATAGTGGTAGAATTATTACAATTATTTGTGCTTTTGACATTATAGTCTAAATTTACGAAGATGGGCTGACTTACAAGGTCTAAGTTTAAAGCTCACGGTGAAAACACTTAATGTTTTAGTTATTATAACTTTTATATAGACATAAATGTTCAAATGTGTCCCTCAAATTTTCTACAGCTATTTTCTTTTCCCCGCTGCCCAGTATTTGGAATTTTATTTGAATCATATTTTTCCCACCACACTTAATGTCAGTGTAGCCTTTGTGATATTTCTCTATCTGCCTTCCCCCTTTTTTCCAATCATCCTACTCCATATTCTTTTAGATTTTTTTCGCAAGTTATTTTACCAGACTCAATCTTTTCCCACTTATTATTCAGCTACTTGTATCATTTAAAACCATATGGATGATCAAAAAATTGCTTTGCTTACAACAATCGATGATTCCTTCTTTATGCTTTAAAGTCTCCCTGATTTTCTCAGACTTTCAAAGGTGAAACTCTTTCCTACCTCCAGTATTTCCATGTGCTCTGCTAACCACGACGAATGCTTTCTGCTCATCAGAAAACCTGACAAGCACTAATCCTTCAGCACTCAGTTTAAACACCGATGTAAAATGGAAAGTTTCCTTTACCATCTTTCACTCCTTCCACCCCAATCCCGATACTCTGCTGGATTTTGTATGCTTCTCCTAAACCCTCTCAGTGTCCACTGTGCTTTTCCCCTATCACTCTATCTTTCTGCAGTTAACAAATTTTACTACGTCTTTTCCTAATAGCTATCTCTTTAGAGAACTGAAGGTCTAAGACAGTTTTGACTTATTTAACATTTTACCCTGACATCTAGCATATGGTGAATAAATAGCTGTATATAAGACTTGATGTATTAGTATTAGTGGATAGAATAAATAGTATTAATAATAAAAGAAAACAATTGATTCACTTATTCATTATTTCCAGAAAAATGAATTGACTACCTATTGGGTGTCACAGTGCAATGGCAAACTCAATTTACAATCCATTGTAAAAGAAAAACAGTAACAAAGTAGGACTCATAAGAGTGCACAGGATACTATTTGGCAGAAACTAGATGAGTCATGGAATGGTTTTTCAATGATAACATGGTATTTGAGGAAAAATCTATAGAAAAAAGAGTACAAAATGTGGAAAAAATCTTTGGAAAACACACTGCAAATAGAAAGCAGAGCCAATGCAAATGATGCTAAGTGGACATATATCTGATGAGGCAGAGGGCAAAAGTCCCACATGAGTGAGTTGGACAGATTACAGAGAAAGAAGGATTTGGAATAGATTTAGAAAGCTAAGATTTCAAGATTTGGAAAGGGTAGTTCTGAAAGGGATTCTAAATGATTTTAAACTTTGGCTTTTACTCCAAGTGAGACCTGAAATACCGGGAGGATTTATGAGAAGTGACACATTATTTTGGTTTTTAAAATGCACTGTTGAATGAGACTGGAAGGCAAGAGAGAAAGAAAACCATTAGACATTTTCTAAAAATATATGCAGAGAATCCTTCAGAGGTCTTCAAGAAGTAAAAGTGGTTGGATTTTTACTAGATTTTGGTGGTAGAATTGACAGGATTGCATCGTACAAGGAGTATGAGATAAACACAGGGGTCAAATAAAACCTCAGGAAGATTTTAATGTTCATCTCTTTTATTAGTCTAGATTTGGAATACATCTTCATTACATATGTATCTGTTTCGGGGCACTGAAATGAGAGAGAGATGGAGGAAAAGAGAGAGAGAGAGAGAGAGAGAGAGAGAGAGAGAGAGAGAGAGAGAGAATGAATATCTTTATCAATTTCAACCCTTTTACCTCTCTCCCTACCCTCCCACCTCCCACCCTATCCTGTTTTCCATCTCCAACAAGTTTGCCTTGTTGTTTCTTATCATCTGTCTTTTGTCAATTTATTTATTCACATTTTTAGTTTATCATATAAGAGGAATTCTTCAATATTCAACTTTCTGGAAAATGGAACTTGAGACAATAATGTTATATAAAATAAGTCAGGCCAGGTGTGGTGGCTCACACCTGTAATCCCAGCACTTGGGGGGCTGAGGCAGGAGGATTGCTGTGAGTTGGAGACCAACCTGGGCTACACAGTGAGTTCCAGGGCAGTCTGAACTACATAGTGAGATCCTGTCTCAAAAAACAAAACAAAACAAAAAGTCAGGAACTCTGTCTTTTAACCTTAATAACTGAAAGAAGTAAAAGTTGCAGTTTATTGAGAAGATCACATGTTACGTGGTGCTGGTACTTTGTTGGGGGAGGGAGTGACATGATAATTTGAGAGTTATAGGTGTTCAAAAAGGGATGTTCAGTTGGCACTACATATATGAACTTCCTTGGGGGAGAAAACCCAGCAAGTGAATCTCAATACATGGATGGAATTTAAATCCATGAGATCAGATAAGTTCATTAGGAGCTGATCAGAGAGAAGAAATCCAAAGAAAACTTTAGAATTTCACATTTAGAAGCTATAGATGAAAATGAAGATGTTATGCATACAAAGGGAAGAAGTGAGGTATGACCTGGGGTTACCTTGTCTGTAGACTGACATAAACAAGAATGCATGGCACAACATGATGCATAATACTGGTGGCTTAGGCAGATTGCTGAAAGTATGAAGTCTGGGTAGGCGGTGGGGGAGTTGGTTCATGGGAACTTGGCAGGAACACACAGAGCTTTAAATAATATAACACTGCATAAAAAGATCAAGTCTAAAATTCATAATCTGGTCAAACTTTGATTTCCAAACACCATAATGGTCAACAAATTTTTGATAATCTCTTTTTGGTAAATTCTTTAAGGACATGTTAGTAATATCTCCTCTGTGTTACCTTTCTTAACTAATCCGGAAAGAATTAGACACTGTCTTCCTGGTGCCACGATATCTTACTCTAGTAGACCTATTTATTAGGAGATTGTGAACATTTTGTCTGAGGGGCCAAATGATTATTTTTAAAAGTTACCGTCTTAATTTGTAGCACTCAATTTAGATAAGTGTATAACTGTTTTAATTACCCTTATTCGTTCATGATTTCCAGTACCCTCTGTATACTGTGGCCAGATCCGCCCCTCTCTGTACCTCTGTTCCTTGTTTTCTCTCTGCTCTCTTTCTTCCCATCCGTCCTCCTTCTTTTCTTTCCTCATACTCTCTCTTCTCTCCCTCCGTTCTTTTTATCTCTTATTCAACACACAGTTACAGAACACTTATTAAAGTCGCCACTTTATTTTACTGAAATCCTGAAATACAACTCACGAAGTGAGAAAAGACGCATTAACAATTACGGCTATTACACTTTCACTGTCTGCTTCTTCTGACACGTCTTCTACAGCAGCAATAACCTGCCCAATTGTTGCCCATTACTATTTAAGGTACCACTCACTCTTCAGCCCTCACCCCACCAAGTACTTATGATCATGCTGCCTGCAGTATGTTGAGAGGCTCTCAGCACAGTACAACCTTAATTCTTCAGCCAAGTCTTACCTCCCTGAATCCCGCATACCCCAGCAGTGTACAGTGGTTGTTTCCCTCAGTCTCTCATTGTCTACCTCACTCCTTTAGAACTTGGTATCCATTACCCTGCACCCTCATTGGGTCATGAAATCTTGTTACTTCTCAATGTTTTTTTTTTTTTTCGGTGGTACCAGAGATTGAACTCAGGACCTTGCATTTACGAGGCAGGTACAGTGCTACTGAGCCAAATCCCTGACCCCTTCTCAATTAGTTTTTTTTTTTTTCAAGTGTTTTGGAATTAAGTTCATGTTGGAAAATATATAAGATAATACTATTCTCATAAATTACAGGTATCTAATACACATTCATCAGTGTGAAATAGAAAAACGGGAAAAATGTTTCCATAATACCTTATCATGTAAAGATTCTTCAAGATTCTTTCTGAAAGTTTCTGATTCTTGGATTAAAACATTCTAGAGAAAAAAACAAATGAGTAATAAATTAATGGAAAAATTTTGAATATGTAGATTAATAAAGTATCACTCAATGGTCTCCCTTGAGTTCTTCTTTGGTTTTCTGGAAACCAAATTGTAATGGGGTCTGTAAACATGATACCTCAACGTTTGGAGAAATACATTATTTAAGAGAGGAATGACACTGTAACACTTGGATGGATAAATGGTATAAATACTACCTTTCAAGCTATTTTTGCATGCTGCGTTTCATAGTACATTTTAAATTAGAAAGAATTAGATTTTTCTTTAGTGAGAAATAGAACAAGATAAATATTGGCCAGGAGTGTAAAGAATTGAAATTAACAGATTTTTTTTTTTTTTTTTACTATCTGAAGAAAGATGAAATCATGACATATATGTAAGAGTTCATTTTCTAGAAATCCACTGTCCATGCAGAATAAATAATTCTACTAACACTTAAATTATTATGGAAATAAAAATGAAATTTTAATATTTAAAAACTAGCATTATATTAGGAAGACATGTGAAAATACCAAAAAGTATTATTGTTACAATATATGCCTTTTTATAGTACTATAAAGTATGAGTAAAATAAGCCATTCTTTCAAATTTATACAGTGAAATTAAAATAAGAATATCTTATTGAATAGTAGCCATATATATGGAGTTGTGTGGATAGAAATTTTTTCTTATCCTTATGTTTTTCTTTTTTTTTTTTTTTTGTACCGGGGATTGAACTCGGGTCCTTGCACTTGCTAGGCAGGCCACCGAACCGCTGAGCTAAATTCCCGGCCCTTCCTTATGTTTTTCTAACTAAAGTATTTTAACGTTTCAATAAAGATTTTCCCTATTCTGGTTTATTTTCTATGTCAGAGGGATATGTCTAGCTAAAGTAGTTATTGCCATTCAACCTAAATTTCCAAAATGATTTTTCCATCTGAGCTTTAGCTCCCACCTTTGTTTATGCTCCAGAATCGGCTGCCAGCTCACATAACGCTTCCTGCTATGACAACTGCCAAATATCAGTAAGACACATGTAATTGTGAATCAACTAGCAGATTGTACAGAAGCCCATTTTCTGAAACAATGCAGCTGAAATGACTGGGTTCCTAAATCATTCAGTGGTACTGACAATAGTTCAGTGGTGAAATAAAACTCACCCATACTTTAGAGTGTAGTGTACATCAGTCATTTGAAACACATGAATTGTAGAAAACAAGTCTCTCCACTCCTAAATATTAATTTTTATCTTTTAACTCTCTTTTTACATTTATGGAGAAGATAATTGAATATTCATCACAAAAGCACAGCACATTTTAATACATTGGCTTCGTGTGAACATACTTATATGAAAGATTTATATGTCATGCGGTCTTTTTTATTCATTTAAAATCACCCTTATACTCTTTTACATAACTTTTTTACTTCCTTCTAAGATTGTATCAGGCATGTTTAGGGCTGGAGGGTGTAGCTGGCTTGAAGGGCACTTGCCTAGAAGGCAGGAAATTCTGGGTTTGAACCTCAACACCTCTCATAAACACACACAATAAAAATAATGCCTGACACAGGGCATTTTTAAAAACTGCCTAATTACTCTTCTATCCAAAACAGTGATTGTAGCGGTGTGTAAAATAAACATGATCATAAGAGAACTGCTAAAAGCTGATGAGATTCTACCCTTTGTCATTTTACCTTCTCTTCTAAAGCAGCCATTCTTTCCTTCAAGTGCAGCTGTAAGCGCTCATTGGACTCAGTCAGAAGTCTGTCCACAGTATCGGACAATCTTTTGTTATGTTCCTCATTCATTTTCTCTCGTTGCCTAGCCTTACATTTAAGAAAAAGTAATATAAATATGACATGAAAAAGCACTTAAGAACTATTCGACTTTATAATTTTGCTAGTTTCAAGTTGGATTTATTTTCTGTTTTGATTAAATTGGTAGAAACTATTTTTTAAAAATTACATAAAGCATATCCATAAAAATTTAAAGAAAACCCATAATCAAGAACATTTTTCTCCTTCTATGTAGTTGTTAATCCATAAACTGATGATGGGGTGGCTTTTAGTGTACATACTCTTTGAAGTTCTTGATTCTTTTCCTCAAGTTGACCTTCTAGATGTCTCATACGCTCTTCAATATTTCCATGTCTTTCTTCAGCCTGTTAAGAAATATGAGGAATACACCTGAAATGTAACATGTGGTTAACTCTGTTTCTCTAAATAAACTGAAATAAAATGTAAAGCAAGCTACTACCAACTGCGAACAGTTTTCAAAAAATAAACTTTCTTTAAACAGGCAGCTGAACAGCATTGCTTGAAATGTGTCAGCTACAAAGGCCTGTTACATCCAAGCATCAGCAAAACATTGGAGTTATTTATGAGCAATGAAATCAGCCAAATGTAACATGCAGACTGTGCATGGTTTGAACACAAACCTGCCATTGTCCAATCTTAAGCTCCTGAAGCACTGAACTGCACAGATGGTTGATTATCAATAAATAAAAGTAACATAATTTGTATAAATGAAAAGAAAAACTTAGATGGATTCTATTTAGCAATAGAAAGTAAAGTCCAGTAGGACTACCTTCCTACGTATGGAGATCATTTCTTGTAGTTTAGCTTCCATAACATATTGATAATCATCAGATGAGGTAGAAGAGGTTGGATCAGACTAACAAGTCAAGGAAAAGGAGAGGGACAAAATTGAAAAATCAGAACTAAAGACACTGACACTGAACAAAACATAGCACAGAATGCTTAAAATAAAAGTGTGACAGCAAATTTAATACTTTAATAGACAGAATCTTATGCAGAAAAACTACACTGATATCTGGTGAACATAATGCAGTTGATGGTTGAAAATGAAAAATGATACGTTAAAATAAAAAGCTGTCAACCTAAGATATGGGAAGTTAGTGATGGCTAGCAATGAAAGACTACTCCAGAATGAATGAAAGCAATTCTGAATAAGTCATGTAGTAACTGGAATTATGGGAAACCAAACACTAGAATATGTCTCTGATAGATTATGAAAAGTTTTGTATTTTTGGTTTGTTTGCTTATCATATTACTTAAAAAATGAAAAAATGTATTTCAATGTTGAAGAGCGCGTTAGATTTCGAGCTTATCATAAACCCTACCATGTAAACCAGAGAAAAAGCTAAGCTATATGGTTAATTATTATAAGTCATCCTCAATTCAAGCAGGATTGAGTTTCCTCAGCAACAGTAGCCAGTTTAGTTTAGGGTCATCGAATATATGTTATGGTCTTCTATCTAATTGCCTATTCCTAGAAATAAATTTAATTTGAAATTTTAAGTTAAAAGTCTTCAAGTTATCAAGGTGACAATAAAACTGTGAAGACAAGAAAATTTATTGGTGAACTTTCCTAAATGGAAGCAAGGACCATTCTATAACTATTTCTTCATTGATTTGTTGCTATGGAAACAGGATGCTGTAGTGCCCTAAAGTGAAGAAATAGCACAGAGTCATTGCGAGCTCATGTTTGCCCATTGCTAGGGTTAGTTACATGTCTTGGAAGTGCAAGTGTTAACATGTGACATTGCTGATTGCTGAATTGTATTAGAATGTTCTGCACAAATTACATATAAAGTTATACAAACATTTTAATCACAGTTGCAGGTAATTATAACACTAGAACAATCCCACATCAGGACTACAGATTTTAACTGCAGATCACATTTGTCACATTTTAAAAATTCAATCTAAAATAACAAATCTTACTTTGTACTAATATAGGGATATTATTATAAAATGCATTAACCCCAAATAAATCATAACTTATTCATGTGTCATACATACAATTTATGAAATGAATACAAGTTTAATCTATAACATAAATGTTTGACACTCCAAACTTGATATTTTATGCAATGTATAACCGAACATTTACAATCTATAGCACTGTCCTTCTGATAATCATATTTCATGAATATGTAAATCAAATAACCAAGTTATTTTCCTTTTTCCTCAACAAATTTCCAAGCAGAAACAAAACTAAAAGCTACCATGGTACTTAAAAGCAATAAAATGATTATATAATATGATTTAAAACTTTGTATTCTGCTGTATTCTCAAGAATACAACTAATAGATAAAATTTTGAAATTATATAATCTAAATTTATAAAAATACTTTTATAAAATATATTTTATAGGCACCTAGAAGTATTAAAATTAATCAAGTGACTGATTAAAGTTAGACAAGACGTGAAAATTTCAACTTCTGAAACTATCTTCTCAAAAATATAAATTTTGAAGGTATTTTAAAATGCTATTTTTTTCCTTCTTAACTACTGCAAACACACCACACCTTTTAAAACTTCATATCAGATATGGAACAAGAATCTTGTCATTTCTAAATTATTATGTATGAAATACCCCATAAAATTCAAGATGAATTATGTCCTTGCTGAGGAAAACATGCATTTTAATTAAAGAAGTAGATACAATAAATCATGATTGGAAGCCCAAATGATTTTAATGGTTAGTTGTGTATAAACCTGCCAAAGTCAAAGTTTAGATTTATCCATAGCTCTCCATGATCATAAATTTATAAAAGTCTTAATGAATTTTGTCTGCATGCACATACACACAAATTAGAAGATAAGAAAATATTAAACTGAAAAGTAAATGTAAACATCATTTCTAAATAATTCTGTGAAGAATTTTTAATCAACTCCATTGATTATATTTAATGTAGCCTTATAAAAACTACAATTGTAATAACTGGAGTAGATACAAAGAGCACAAAGGAACAGTCTGCTACTTTGAATTTATATTTCCTGAAGGAAGCTGGGTTTATCTTGGCTTCACTGTAATGTGCTATAGGAAAATTACAAGCTGAAATTTTAGAAAAATTGCAGGCAGAAATGACTGGTAAAAGTTTGATTATAGTCAGAAGTGGAGAAGAAATTTAATTTAAAAGGATGACTTAAAAAAAAGAATAAATTAGGTGGCTGATAATCAAATATGTTTTATATACACATATATGCCAAATGAAATGGCAAAGAGTTGTTAAGAATACCATTTAATACAGAAGTGAGATGCTTAGGTTTTAATGTAAGCAGAAATAGTTTTTACTTTGGTGAGTAATCAAAGGAAAAGAAATAGAAAAATGTTATAATGGCCGATAATATTGAAATATTAAATCTAGGTGAAAATTACAAGAAAAAAATAAAAGATTATAGAGACAATCCCTAGTGTTACTGAGCAAGAAGATAAAAAATTTACAAGGTTGTTGAAACCATAAATTTGGGAGAAAAAAGTGAAAGAGTGATCTCCAGATGTAACAAAAATGTTATAAGCACAGGGATAAATTCTCAAGATTCACAGAATTTACATCCTAAAATAACTGTTGGTAATATAAAATGCTTATGTCTGAAATATGTTGATATAAAACCTGTCAGAGGACAAGATAATAAAATGTTTGAGAGAATTAAAACATTGAAAGAGTGCCTAGAAATGACAAATTTGTTTGGAAATAAGAAAGTCAAAAGTTCAGAGAAAGTTTTGTCTTATGTAAATACAATTCAAACATTAAATATCATTGTGTGCTTATCTCTATGATTATTCATATGTTCAAAGATTACTATGGAAAATTAACTATAACAATATGATAAAATTTGTATTTATTTTCTTAACATTTAAATAGGCCAGGGGCTTATCACACATATATTAATCATTCAAGTTACCATAAATAAGATATGAGCAATAAGAAAATATCATTAAATAACAGATCAATATAATAAAAATTATAGAAAGTAAATTTTACTTTGATAGCACCTAAAGAAAATCTTCATAGATTCCAGTTTGATTGCCAGTTGTTCCTACATTGGTAGCTAGGTTGACCAGTTGTTTTTGTGCAGTACCTTTGTTAGAGCTGCAATTCTCTGAGCCAGTTCAGCCTCTACTTCGGGTAATGTTTCAGCCTTCCTCATAGTCTGCTGCAACTTTTGTTCAGCAAGCTCAAGACGTTCTTGTAACTGTCTGTTTTTCTCTTCCATCTGAAACAGGGATGGTAAAGGGACACTTAAAGGGTCAAAGTTAGGACAGCAAATACCAGTCACTATGGGGTTTACACATCAGCCATTATTCTAGCTTTCAAATCAGCTACTACCACACCTAAATGTGCTACATGATGATTATTATCGTGTTTTTATGTTATCAGTTTCCCTTAATAAAATACAGTACATTAAAATTAAAAATGTTCGTACCAGTGGAAGCAAAAAAAAAAAAAAGACTAATGAGTATGACTTGTACAAGTACAATACAGCTCAGCTCGGTATGAAGACTTCAGATGTACTACTATACAAAAACGCTGAAAATCATAGGATTAGACTGAGACGGGACAGAGAATGCTGTATGATAAGAATCCAGGCTTCCCACACACTTTGGGGAAAGGACCAGAGAGTAAATAGTTTACACTTTGTGCATTAGCTGACTCTGCCGGTGTAATAAAAACAGTCATGGATAACAGTTAAAAGATTAGACATGACTGTACTCTATTAATACTTTATGAAAGCAGGTGGCCAACCAGATTTAGCCAATGAGCCATAATTTGCTCTACAGCCTGGTAGAGTTAGCCTTCCACAACAGACTTTATCGCATTTACCAGATGTGTGACCTTGGGAAAAATGTCAATGTCTTCTATCCTTAGTATACTTAGTATAATAATGGTCCCTAGGACCTAGGTAGTAGTTAGAATTATGTGAGGCAACATATACAAACATGTGAATAGGTGGGGTAAAAATATAGTGTCTTTTCTGCTCCACACTTAAATTCAAAGCAATAATAGTAATTACTTTATTGTCAAGACAATTCATTTTCTATAATGTGCCAACTAAACATTACATTTGTTTCCTAAGCGCTACTCTAAATTTACAGCATGATTAATCAAACTATTTTATTAATCAAAACAAACTATTTCGTTTTGTTCATGTTTTGTGAGAATGGCAAGAAATACACATGGAGCACAACAAAACTAAGAGATACTGAACCTGCCGTAGGATGGCTTCTTTATTTGCCAACTCGTTTTCTAGTTTATCATTCATGTCGTGTATGGAGGTAGATTCTCTCTGAGCACTGAGGTAACGCTTCTCAAGGGTTGTGATTCTTTCTTCCATATCTTCCTTCTGTGCCATGGCCTACAATTAACATAAAACAAGTAAGACTCTAAGATAGATTGGTGCATTGTTTTGTTATTTAAATATAATAATAATATGTGAAAACTATGGTTTTCTTGAAGGAAAGTTTCACTCTTTTCACAAAAAAGAAAGACACAATTTTATAGGGGTTTTCCCCATTTAACTGCCAGAAGTCTCCTTACATCTTAGATGAGACAGAAGCATTCTGCTCACTGAGAATAGAAAGGAAAGCATTTCGAAGTGGCTTGCTACGGAATATTCAGTTTTAGAAAATTGTAACAGACACGCTAGCTTATTATGCATTATAAGTAGAATTACAGGTAGAATTGCAAAGCATAAAATTGTTTCAATGGTAGTTATGTTCAAATTGCAAAGTAATCTTCAAATAAGAAATAACAACTGTAATCAATATTCTCATCTTTCCAATAAGGAGGAGTAATCCATTCATTAAAAGAGGAGGCAGGGTTTGGGATACAACTCAGTAGTAGAGTGCTTGCTTAACACACATAAACCCCTGGGTTAATTCCAGCACCTAAACTTTAATTAATTAATTAAAAGTTATGAACCAAACAAACAACTATGAGTGCAAATAAAAAAGTCATAGCATTGGTAATATTTTAAACACTAATCTTTAAATAATTTCACTTACAAATATTACTATAGAGATGATTTTACTTCCTAATAGCTTGTGTAGAAATTTATTGATAGATAACTAAGCTACTTGATTGAGAAAATGTTGGAGAAAATCATCTGTGCAAGTGAATTTTACATTGCTGTCATGGTTTCTTTTGAAATTGGGAGGCTCCTTTGAACAAAGGATTGAGGGAGATGTGGTGGTTCTGTGTATTACTATCTGGACTCATTTGATCACTCCACTCCCATTAAGTCCATTTATCACTTTTCTTCAGGGAAAAAGCCTGTCCTGCCACACCTACAGACCAGATAATCTTCCTTCCAAAGTTCTAAAAGAAACAGAAGTCCTTAAAAAGATAGTTGTTCCTTTGCCACAGCATATATAATTAACCACTCGCACATTAAATGCCTCTTCTGCTCTTCAGGGTTAATTATCCTGTGTGTACTGAACTCTATGCTTTTTCTTTTCATGGGACTTTGATCACTTTTTTCGCTTCTGGGCTTTTAGTGTGATGTTAATAGTATATCCCACAACAGCTGAAATGGTGAAACATGCTAGCAATAAATTCACATAGATCTGAGCAAGAAGACAAAAGATAAAATAGTGCTTTCAAGAAAATTTTAAAAAGTTAAGAATAATACATTATCTTCCAAATTGACCCTTCTCCATGACAATTGAAAGGGATTTTACCAGTGTTGGAGATTTTACCATAGGGTAAAAAATAAATAAGTAAATGAATGTATCAAATAATTAATGCAATTCTGGGAAAGCAGAAAGTTTCACAAGAAAAAATAATATTATTTTAAGAAAGTACTATTTAGATAAGTTGTGGAAATTATTTATCTAATAATAGTAATATAACATTTAATACATGCGTGTATAATTACAATAGAAAGATGAGTAGAACACTAAGAGAACAGAAACTTAAAAGCTCCCTTTCTAATAACAGCAAGACATAGATTTAAGTTAAAATGCCAGAAAAAAATAGCCTATGTTTTTGACATGAAGAATTCTCAGGAAAATAGGCTGGAAATTTGAACTGAGAGACAGGCAGAAGCTCTGTGCGTGTGGATATGCTTACTTTTTTGACATTTTATTTCGAAAAATTATATATGTATAGATATAAGTGGACTTTAATTTAAAAAATAGTGTTTTTCATGAAACTTGTTTTTATCTGTAGCCCTTTGCCTACTCACAAAGCGACTCTCCCCTTTGTTTCTTGATTGAGGATGGACACAATTCTCCATGGATATTTGTAATCATTCCTGAAAATTCTTTTACCTTACTACCTCTGAAAATCTAATGTGCTCTCTTTCTGTTTTTTTTTTTTTTCCAATCTGCTGACCAAAAGATAATTCTAGATGGTAGTCTGATCGTATTTCTTCTTGGCTTACATAATTTTATTTCTTCTATATTCAGGAAGGCATTTGAGCTATAAAGCATGGAAAAAAGTAGTTTCATGACTTAACACTTCCCTGCTTCTGGCTACTGAGGTGAATAGTATTTCCCTCCCAAAACTGTGTCCAGCCTGGACATATTAATGTGAGTTTATATGCAAAAATATCTGATAGATATAAATGAATTAAGATTTAAAGTCAATAAGATTTTGGTAGACTCTAAATCTAATCAATGACAAACCTTCTCATAAGAAAGTGATAGGTGGACAAAGAAACATACAGGGGCAGAGATTGGAGTTATAGTACTGTTAGATAAGGACAACAAAGATCTACCAAAAAAAGCAAAAAATCTAGAAAATTCGGAGAGAATATGGCCCTGCTGAAACCTTAAATTCAGATGAAAGCCTCCATAACTGAGAGAATAAGTTACGATTATTTAGGTATCCTGTTTGTGTCCGTTTGCTACTATTCTTGGAATGTATTTTCATCACTTTGGTTGTCTAGCTCAATTTTCTTTAAGATCTAGTTAAATACTATTCAGTGAATTTCATTAATCTTATATAGTAAATGTACAAAATTAATATAGTGACATGATTTGTAAAATATATATATATATATATGTATATATATATATTAGACACTTAAAAAAACAACTGTTATTTAAAATATTTTATTTAACATTTGATCTTCTATTTTAACCTTTTTAAATTTCTCAGTGAAGAAAGAATTTCTATCATAGAGGATCCTTTCAAATGCTCACTAAATTTAGTATTGCATTGTCAGCTTCATTTTCATATAAACCTACAGGAAATTGTGTTAATTTTTGAATAAAAAATTCCAAATCCAGTTATTGTATATAAATTTCTTACTAAGGTCTAAAAGCAGCAACTTCCGTCTTAGGCATACACATGTTCCTCAATGCTTTGGAGTAGTATAAATGTTACTTTTCAACACTTGTAAATTCTGTTTTCATTGATTAAAATTTGTTCACATTTTTTTTCTTGCTTGGGATATTAATAATCAGTAATATTGTTAAGAATTAGGTAATATATTATTTTAAGTAGTTTGTGTAGCACTTCATCCAAAATATACATTCAACAAATGATAGTTGATAGCTTTATATTATTTGCCATTATATCCATAGCTGATCTCACACCATGGCAGACATTACATGTCCTTGTATGTGACTCTGACATTGCATTTTTATACAGTGATTCACATGGGTGATTCATTTTTTTACTGCAGGCTGTGTGGCTAAAAATAAATCTTAAATTTATAAGTCAGAGAAAGAGCATTTGCTCTATGTCAATTAGAAATTCTAAAAAAGGAAGATTCTCTTATTCCTGAAAACTGCTACCTCAAAAAATGAGAAAAATAACACATTCAATGACCTCTTGATCTAAATGAATTGGAGCACATTAAATTAAATAAATGTAACTCTAGTAGTGAAAAATATAATGCCATGTTTCAGATAGTACAGGAAAAAATGGTATGTATTGTTCGTTTGATCATTTAGTAAACTTGTAAAGAGCTTTTACCAGGAAATTGGAAAGGTAAGCTGGTTATTCACAAAATAAAACATCAATAAAACACTTCAGTAAAAATTTAAATTCTTTATCTAGCAATGTGTTCAGTCAAATATTATCATTCACACACAGTTAATAACTTCTTGCTTAGAAAGTGAAGAGCTAAGACCCTCTTATGCAATTATCTGTATTTTTAATATATGGGCTGTGTCTAGCTTTAAACCAGCTTGCCTAACATTACAAGTCAAAATGAGTGTAATGTACAATGAACAACAACAAAAAAATTAAACAAAATAAAATTTGGATATATTTATTTCGTGATAAAGAAAAATTACAAAAAATGTATTTTAAAATCATGAATGAAATATAATTATATAATTTATTTTATGTTATTCTCATGTGTGAAGCAAAATACATTTCAGTTTTTTCATCGCATGGTTGTTTTTCCTATTTTTTTCTTATTGAATTAAAAAATGTTTACTATTTGTACATTATAATTTTTTACTGTTCTATCAATGGTATAGGAATACCAAAGAAACTGAGCATCTTTTTTTTTTTTTTCTAAGTTACAGTGCAGGGGATTTATATCATCACAGCACAGGAACACATTTTCAGGAAAATAAATGTAATGTCCGGAGTCCTGAGTACAAATTCTATTTCTTTTAAAAAAATACTTGAATTCACATCTTCTGCTTTTTGGAAAGAATTACCGAAAGATTATCATCTGAGTGCAGTGGGATAGGCCAGCAACTGTACTACCAGCACCCTGAGGAGCTGAAACAAGAGAATCATAGTTTCTAATTGAAACTTAGTGTAACACTACCATATACATATGTGTGTATTATATAATTTCACTGTATAGTATATATTTGTAATATATAAAATATGCAGTGCATAGATATTTGCCCTATATATAATGCATATGTTTATATATACTGCAAATTATTTATGGCAGAGAGACAGAGAGAGAACATACAAAATCATGATGAACTCAGAACAGCAGGTCGAGTGCTGAGTGTAGGGCATAGGCCCTCTTCACAGGTCTACTCAATTCTGCCACTTCCTACTGTCTTGTACCTGGAACTTTGTGTACTCAGATTGCAAGCCTGGCTCTGAAAACATTTGCACTTGCAACCTCTCCTCAAAGAAGCATGAGACGTATTCCCTTTTTACAAACTCTTTTAAAACATGGCTCTCGGGAAATTATGGAGCTGAAAAAATGTAATTTTTTCAAGAATTCCCTTTAAAAGAAGAACTTCTTACTCAGTAGCCTGGATTCATAATAAAAGGAACCCCTGGCATCAGAGGACTGAACTTTTCCGGCTGACCGAAGTTTTTGTTATTATTAATATCAACCAGTTATTTTTAAATAAGAAAGAAGAAAAGGTGCTTTGGAAATAGTTCTGGACATTATGTGTAAGTGAGAGTAGATTAGATTAGCAGAAATATACTATATAAGTGTTCCCATAAAAAGAAACCAGTTAACTCTGTGGAACCGGGGCAATGAAGAAATACAGAGCATTCAAGTTTAAGAAATGAATTGATAATTTAAAAGTAAGGAATTGTATTGATTCTTTAACAGGAGAAGGGTTAAACACAATCTACATTATAAATTCTCTAAGGATGGGCCGTGGGAAGGAGTAGAGAAATGAGATGCATCCATGAGCTGCTAACACAAAAAGTTGTGTCAATTATCTAAGTGGCAGTGAAGCCATCACTTCATGTATTATTTTCCTGATACAGGAAGCCCCATTTGATTATGTATTTGAATACCATCCTTGCATTCTGACATTTATTTATTGTAAACACTTGTAAATAGCTATTTCTCCACAATGATTTTTTGAGTGTTTACTACATGCTCAATAGCTGTGTAGGTAATTAGAAAGCAGCAGAAACAAAACAAAACAAAACAAAGCCAAAAAAATCCCAGCCCTTGTGTATTTTTATGTGTAATTGACGAAGAAGCTAGATGATACACAAATAAGGCAGTAAAATATATTTAGTATGATTGATCAAAACTACAGTGAACAATTACATTTAACAATTATTATAATAAAAAGTATACCATGAATTCCACTCGAAATTACCCTTCTCACTTTGATAACAGTTATACCACCATCATCGTCACTCTCTGAAGCAGTTCTGGAAGTCCTATTTTATGTCTTTATTTGTTATATTTCTTTAGTCATGGCTGCCCTGATTTTCTGAATCTATTCAAAATTTTTACCTTTTATGGTCATTTTGACTTGGGAAAAGAGACAGAAGTCACAGAGTACCATATCTGGTGAATAAAGTTGATATGGGAACACATTATAATGATTTTCAGCGCCTGTCTTTCTGTTGGATGGCATTTGGCAGTAGCATAGATTGCATTTTCAATCATACCTCATGAAGAAATTCTTAAAAGAAGTTTTCCATAACTGCTTCAGAAAATGGCAAAAAAAAAATGTCTGTTCAAAGCAAGGGGTTTATTTAAGAGGGATTAATAGCAATGTGGGTTTTTTGTAATTAAAAAAATTAAACATTCTCTGTATTTTTCAATTACATCTTGTATACTTTGTTGGGTAACCATAATACCATGAAAAAATTAATGGTAAAATAAAAGGAAGGGTAGCACATATAGTTTAAATACCAAGGTGAGGGAATACTTCCTTGAGAATACAACTTTTGAGCAAAAAGCCGAAGGAAGAGAAAATGCAGCAAAATGGCCTAAGATGCCGCCTTAAAAAAGTTAAATGAGCTAGAATGACATTGTACATTCCTTTCAGGCCACTTCAATAGCTTGATATCATTGTATACACAATAGGAAGCCATTAAACAGTTTAAATACAAAAATAATGCTAGTTGATCCTTTGGCTATTGTGTGGAATGTAGACTAAGGAGCGAGAAAGGCTGAAACAGTAATGCCAGTGAGAGGACTTTTGTCAAAGTCCAGTTGGAGATGACAACTGTGAGAAATAAGAAGAGTGTGGATATCATGAGAAGTCATATTATAGCTTTACTCTGAATTTGGAAATAATAGGGCTTACTGCTGAATCAAATAATGTGTAAGTGAAACAGAAGTACCAAGGACAGCTCCAAGATTTCTGGCCCCTGCGACAATAACGATGGGTGTGTACCACCATCAGAGAGTTAGCTTTGTGGGGAAGGAGTAAGAAAATAATCTTGAGTATGATGCTTTTGAGATGCCTCTTAGAGGTTTAGATACAAGCTTCTGGAAATCAGGACAGGACAATCTGGAGATGGAATTGACAATTACTAAGGCTGTGACAGCTTTGCGATCCATGAGACTGCACCAAATTACTAGGGAGGAAAAGTGGATGAGAAATGAAGACACTTGGAGGAAAGGGAACAGAAGTAAAGAACCAGGAAAGGAAGGTCCAATAAAGGACCATGAGATGAGAGTGAAAAATAACTACGGAGAAAATTCAAGAGAGGGTAGCATACCACTAGTCAGGTAAAAAAGTGTTCCCTGGAGAGAAGAGCAGTGAGTAGATCAAGTAACTCTGAAGGAACAAAATCTGACCCTGCCACTCAGTAACATAGAGGTCAATAAAACTTTAATAAGGATAGTTAATGGGACAGTGGAGGTAGAAAAATGACATAATGGCCCAATAGAGAACAAGAAAACAATGGATACACAGAATAGAGCTGGTTAGAACAACTAATTACATACAAGCAATGTAAAAGTAAAAATACATGATTTAAAATATTTAAAATAAAAATGGTGAAAAATCACAAACTAAAATTTTCACACATAGAAATAATTGTATTTTTATTGTGAATGAGAGAATAAAACTATTCTAACATTCACCTAAGCAGATAAGATGATTTGACAATGGTACAAATAAAACATCTCCTTGTATCTTTATAGTAACTTTAAAGTACTTTTTTTAATAAAGTGATGTTAAGTCTAGAAAGTACTGAATATCTAAAAAACAAAGGTTATGCTATACATATTTAAAGCAGTAACTTATGTATATATTTATATTCATAGATAATACCAAAAATTAAAAAGACAATTTAAAGCAATGTCTCTGAGTATTCCTACATGCTAAAATTACAGATAGACATGATTCATACCCACATGCATGGTTATTTAAAACTAAATTGAATTTTACAAAATGTGGAAAGAGAGTCTTTATTATTTGAGACTTGGTACCGAAAATTTCCTTCTAGGCTTCTTTTACGGGTTGAGGAAGCAGACTATTTTTGCCTTAGTGAACTACTAGTACATAACTAATATCATGCATCCAAAATCATAGTCTTTTGAGAAGTAAAGACTATGTCACTAGGGAAAATTATGGAGAATTTCTCAGAGGGGGCACTCAGGAAGCAAAACTGAAAGTGTTGTGCATCACTCACCTCCCGAATATCTCTTTGATATTTAGTGTTCATTTCTTCAGTTTTAATGAGATCTTTCCTTGCGGTCTCTGCCTCCTGTTCCACTTCTCCCACTCGGGATGAAAGAGCAGCCAAGCGTTCTTTCATTTGGACCATTTCATAGTTCTGCTTTTCAAGTAGTTCTTGTAGTTCCACTATTTGACTGGTGTCATCAGTTGAGTCTATGGAGCCATTGGACAAGCGCTGCAGGAATAGACAAAGACATAGCACTTAGGGTTTTCATTTTACTTGCTTTAAAATTTATAAATTTAAATTAGTCCCATATAGCTTTTATAATGAGAAATAAGAACTATTGGAAAGAACTAGTGTTAGAGAAAAATTAAGTTCTGAGAAAACTGTTGACATTCAAATAGGAAGGTATTGGTTATTTTCAAACAAGTTAATAAATTCATATGAACAGCATGCTTATATATGTATATAAATATGCACACAACTTATATTTCTACTTATGTACATATACATGGAAATAAATGTGTGTGTATAGAAAACATATTTAAAATAGTGCAAATTGTTTTTTATCTTTATCATTAAAAGTTATTATTTTTCAATTATTAATGCACATACTAATATAGCACAGCATGTTATTTTCAGTTAATAGGTGGGGATACAGGAACTGTCCAGTTTCTCATTTTTATTCTGAATCCTTTGGTAGATTTTAAGCTTTACTATAAACAACACTCAGAAGAAGAATATGTGCAATTTTTTATTTTTATTTATTTTTTATTTATTTTTTTTTTTTTTGAGACAGGATCTCACTATGTGGTTGAGACTGACCTGGAACTCACTATGTAAGTCAGGGTTGTCTCGAACTCACAGCGATCCTCCTGCCTCAGCCACCTGAGTGCTGGGATTACAGGCATGCACCACCACACCCAGCTATGTGCAATTATTTTTAAAAGAACATTATTCCTGTGATGATTTTGACTTAGCTACAAGAAGCATAGCACAGAAAACTCTTTATTTCCGTATTGTTAGAAATATAAAAATTATGTGTCCATTCAATCTACAGGAAGGGAGCTTATAGTGGTTAAATATTTTTGAGACTAAAATTCCACATTTGAAAGGACTGCCTAGAAATTGAGGGAACTATTTTAAAAAATGTGTCCCTGTGCTATTTTTGAAAATATATAAAGAATTTGATCCCTAGTATCAAATATGCATACATATATATATATATATATATATACACACATATATATATAATTATATATATACACACATATATATAACTATATATATATATACACATATATATATAATTGTATATATGGAAATCAAATAACTCAAAAGTAAATAAATAAATAACCAGATTAAGAAATAGACAAATGACCTGTTTCTCAAAAAAGATATAAAAATGGCTAGTAGATATGTTAAAAATGCTCAATATCATTAAGGCAATGCAAATTGAAGCCACAATGACATATCCTCCCATACCTGTTAGAATGGCCATTAGCAAAAGGTAAAAGCATAACAAGTGTTGGCAAGAATAACAAGTAGTGGAGAAAAAGGAACCCTCACACACTTTCAAAAGAAATATTAATTAATTTATCCATTATTGAAATCAGTATGAAATTTCCTAAAAGAGAAAACCTACAAAATGAACTCACCTAAGATTTAGCATTCTCACTTCTAACCCTACAACCAAAGAATTAAAATCAATGTCAAAAATGACACCTGCATTTCCACGTTCAGGTCAACATCATTCATGGTAGCCGAGGTACAGAGTCAACCTAAGTGTTCATCAATGGATGAATAAAGAAAACGTAGTAAACACACAAATAGAATAGTATTGAGCCTAAAAGAATACTATCATTTCTGATAATGAAAAAGGAACCTGGAGGATAATATGCCAACTGAACTAAGATAGCTGCAGAAAGACAAGTAAAGTATAATCTCACTTACTTGTAGAATCTCAGAGAGTCAAACTCATTGAAGAAGACAGAATGATGCAATCAAAAATAGGAGATGAGATGCATTTATGAGACAAGAGGAGATGTTTATCAAAGAGTTCAAAGCTTCAGGCAGACATGAGAATAAGTGCTCATGATATATTGTACAGCATGGTGATCATCAATTATTAATGCTTTGCGTATTTCAAATTTACTAACAGAGTAGATATTAAATACTGTTACCACAAAAAAGATATGTACATAAGGTGATGGACTTGTTATCTTGCAAGTAATTACAATGAGTATTTGTTAATTAAATATATAAGCTTAACCCAGCTACATTGAAGAAGTTTTGTGGTGAGAACAGTCCAGCAATTGGGGAGAAATAACTTCTGATAATAAAATAATACAGCCATATAGAAATAAGAAAGTATGGAAAAAATGCACAGAAAGTACAGTTAGTCCTGTCACACTCGAATATTACAAGTTTGTTCCAACACTACAGACATAGTAGGAAAAAAATTGAACATTAAGTGAATTTTGCATGCCACCACGGGCATTTTTGTACCTGAGAAGCATTGGATAAATACAGGAAATGGCACCAAGTGAATCCAAGCCCAGTAGGAATACATAAAATGCACAAATGCACATTCTTTGCATATTTAACACCAATGGACCACCCTTCCCTGAAGGTGTTGTAAATTAACCCAACCATATCTGTGTTAAGATTCTGCCTGAATTTAGGTGTCTCTTCATTCACCACTTCACAGTAATTGAAAGCCTTTAACTCTTCTGATACTTGTAATTTTTGAATGAACTTCCTATCTTTTTCATAGTAAAAAAGCCTTCTCTCTCAAAGTACTTATGAGATTCTTAACCACATAACATGTCTTGTGAAAGTGTACAAGTAGCTTTATTAGTTTTAGCTCTGTCATGTGATAACAAAGATTTAAGTGTTGTGCTGTAAACCCCATTTTTTCCATCAGTCCTGTGGTTTTCTTTTTTTCTTTCTTTTTAAATTGATAAGTAAATTAATAGGTATTTATTGTGTACGATATGATGTCTTGAAATTGCATGTAATCTAAAAGAGATGATCTCAAAGAAGAGAATAATGATTGCCATTTCTTGTTGTATGTGTTTATTTAGCTTTGTAGTGAGGTTTGGAGAATGTTATATACAACCAACAATGGTAATAAGGAGAAAGAACAGAAAGGCGGGAAGAAAAACAAAATGTAGGGAAAGGAAAAGCAGACCAATGGCAAGAAGGGTTGAAAAGTCCAGTACCCAATACAACAAGAACATGCAATGATAAATGAGAAAACAAAAAAATTTAAAGGACACAAAATAACAAAACCACCTCAAATACCTTTTTTTTCCTTCAACTGCCTAGAGGAATCTGTTCTTTCACAGAAAGTAAAATTTCTATTAAATATTAACTTATGTGTAATATTAATTCACCTATAAGCATTGCATTGAGATATTTGAAATTATGACAATACCCCTGTAAAATAATGCCTCTGTTTTACAAATCTGTCAACTGTTACCCGTTGCTGTCTGTGACTGTACACTGGCTCTTCTCAGTCGATGGTACATAATACTGTGTACCGTCAGAGTTCGCAGTTCCCTTCAAAAAACATGTCCTACACACATGTGCTGCTCTGATGCCTCATCAAGCAACAGAACCAACAGCAAGAGAAAAGGACTTTGGAGTGGATGTGGCTGCTCCTACATATATGTAACATCATTAGCTTCTTTCATTCGATAAAATTCATACCCATATTATAATAAATCCGTGATTGGATGGTCAGTAATATCTTCAAAGGGATTAGCCCTTCAATTCAGTTCGTATCTCTAGGGATAAATTAATAATAAATAGGATTCCCTTGTGAATAGCATTTATGCATGATACTAAATAAGTTGAAAAAAAAACTCTACTGAAAAATTAAGAAAATTTGTTACTTTTCGGATAAAGAAATTAAATTTGCTGCTGTATTAAAATAATGAAAAACACATTACTGATACCTAGAATAAAATACCATGAAATCCAAAAACATTATGCTGAAAATAGAAGAAGCGAGATTCAGAAAAAAATATAGACTTTGTGATTCCATTATATAAAATTTAAGAAAATATCACTCTTACATACAGTGTCAGAAAAGCCAATAGGTTATTGTCTGGGTCTGGGGGTGGTGGGGTTGACTGAAAAGGGCATAGATGTTTCTAATAATGATTGGAATGTTCTATGTCTTTATCGGGATGATATTTTCAGGTATGTATATTTATCAAATTTCATGGAAGTATGTGCTCAAAAATGTATGTAAATTATATATTAATAAAGTTACTTTAAAATTATAGAAATCATTAAAATGCAAAGTTTTGTTTTGAAAAATATTTTTAAAATTGAAAATATTCATTTGAACTGTGAAAAGCTGCAGAACTTTGGAGAAATTGAGATATATGTATTTACCCAGAGGTGATCTGAAATAAAACGTAGAATTTTGAAATCCAAGTTCAATTCATGTATACCTTACCTTACTGACTTGAAATATATTAATTAAATTAAAATCATACATGCTGAATGATAGAGGTGAATTTCAATAATTCATAAATACATATAAATTCATATATGTCTATATATGAGTGTATGTATACATATATATATGAGTATAAATGATATATACACATTACATTCTTATTGGGCAAATATTTCTTTAGTGAAACTAAATTTTGTTCATTTCTAATTAGAAAAAAATGATTATTGCAATTTTGTACACCTGAGGTCCATTAAAGTCTTGCTCATTATAGTATATTTTTGAATGGGCTCAAGGTGAGAGAAATTTAAGTAAATATAAACAGTAATCAGGCAACTAAAATAAAACACTTTGAAAATGTTGATACATTTAACTCTTCAAGTAGAAGAGGTGTACTGCATAGTTTCTGAGCTACTTGGAAACTTAAGACTATACATGACATACTTTTATATTTATTAGTTTTTCTCTGATGGAATTATGAAACATTTATGTTTAATATTTTCTATCATCAGTGCTGATGATCAAACTTTGGGTCTCACAAAGATTAGGCAATCATTCTACCACAGAACTACAACTAGAGCCTAAATCTATGTACTGCTTTACGTATTCCAATAACCTTATATATATTTTAAGGAGAGCTTATCATATACTTTTAGAACTTCAGAGTAGAACATTCACATTAAAACTGTTATTTATAATTTAGAAAAGTTTGTCTTGCTGTTTTTTCGAATCATTGCTGTCTTGACATATCTGTAAGATAAAC